TATATATATATATATACACGTGTGTATATACTGTAGCGTATGCATCACGCAAGGCAAGAATATATATATATATCTATATATACATGTAACGTACTTAATTCCTTCTATATACATATACATATACATATATATATTTATATATATATATAAGAATATAAATATCTTACACGTCATATATATGTATATATACATATATAATATATTTCTATATCTCTGATATATAAGGCTCTTCTGTCTTTAGTTAAAATTTAGTTTTACCTATCGTTTGCACATGTTTAGAGCATGCCTTCGTTTGTTTATCGACTCCACGGTCTCACCGAAATTCTTTCCTATGGATCACTCGCCCCCCACTCCAACAACGAACGATCCTTCGTATCCGTTTCGAAACAAACTCCTCTCACCGTCCTCGAAAAGCCGTCAAGCTGTCGTCGAGTCTGCGAAATCACGGTCTCGAACCACTACGAATGGTTCCACAACCGAACATATCCCACGAATGGCATGCCGATGCACGAAGAAGTTTTGCTTTTCGTTTCGGATCTCTCCTTTCCGTTTCCCATTTGGTACCGTACCGTTCGCGTATGGTACCATCACCGATCCTGCATGGTACGAGTTTTTTAACCACTATCCACCAACCCCTCTCTCTCTCTCTCTCTCTCTCTATCTCTTTTTTTTCTCGTTCTCTATCTCTCTCTCTCTCTCTTTTTATCTCTGTCTCGCTGTCTCTCTGTGTATCTCTCTTTTTCTTTAGCCAATCCACGTCTATCAATCCCACGCATCTACGAGGCGAAAATGAAGAAGAAAAGGCGAGGGAACGACAGCAGCGCGGTAGTGCAGACGGATAAGGTCGATTCTTAAATCGCGGCGCGAGAAATACCGATACGAAGTTGGTTTGATGAATCTGAAACGAGCGACGCGCGACTAAGAGTCGGTGGCGTTTCGTCGCGACGAAAGAAGGAACAAACGCGTATTGTTTGGAGAAATAATCGAAGACCTTGGTTGGACGCGAAATCGGAATCATTTGTCGCGAGGAGCATTGTGGAAGCGCGCGTCATTGTCGCGGAAAAAGTCGTACGAACGCGTCTCTAACAACGTTCCCTCGGACCTTTTGCACTCGGTACCACGGAACGCCCAGGATCCTCTTTCGTTTCACCAGCCCTCTAACTCCTGGTTCCACCCACGCATTGTCCCGTTTACGGACCGACCGATCCAACCCTCCCCTCCGCCCCTAACAGCAGACTCGGCAAAGCGAGGCGGAACGATAAAAAGCACTGCTGAAAGCACCCTGCCGTGTAAGCTCGCACATTATCAAGCACAAAAGTTCACCGCCGTATATACGTATATACTCGTTCGTTATTGTTATTGTCGCCGCTAGTATCGCCACTACCAATATACCATGACTATATTATTCTAAACGTATTATCGATATATACTTATACATATCATATATATATATCATATATATATATATTTGATCACCGTCGTTACGAGTGTGTGCACGGGCGGGCACCGGTGAAACGATTATTTTTCATGCGGGCACGGTTTTATCTCGCACCCACCACGCACGCATGTAATGTCGCACACGCGTGTCACGCACGACAAAAGAGACGAGGTGTGGCGGAAGTAGTGGCGGTAGAGGAGGTGGTGGTGGTGGCGGAGGAGGTGGAGGAGGAGGAGAAGGAGGAGAAGAAGAAAAAGAAGAAGAAGAAGAAGTGGAGGTGGTGAACACGTATCTACGCACCTACGCACAAAGCCACACGCAACGCACGCCTTTGCAGTGTCCCACTAGCCAGGGTATCTCACGATGCACCACCAATTGCGAAAAAGCACCCTTCGCTTCGAGTAACAGCCGACAGCCTAAATAGCACACACGCGTGCACGCATGCACGCAAGCACGCATGCACGTAGGACGTGTGCGTGGGTGAGTGTGTGTACGCGCGTACCTACGTATCCACGTAGAGAAGAGAATGGACTCGTGCGTGGACCCGCGCGAGCGACTATTATACGCGCACCCTATAACATTAGCTGGACCTTCGCCGCATTGAAACAACAGCACCGTACTTTTCGCAGCGCACCGTATTATCGCTATACGTATCACGTGTTTAAATATCAATTGTCACGCTCGATTGCGATATATCATGGCGAGCACCAGCACTGACAGCACCCTTGATTAAGCACACACCCCCACCGTCGATTGTCGTGCAATCTGATTAGCGCGCCTTCTCTACGTGATCTCGAATCGTCGTCTCGATCGCTTTACGCGTCGTCGCTTCGTCGTCGTCGTCGTCGTCGGCGGCGGCGTCGGCGTCGGCGTCGGCGTCGGCGTCGGCAGTATACAGGCAATCCTTGTATCGAGAATATCGTATCGAGTTCACGTCGGGTCGGTGCACGCGTGAATGCGTGAACG